CCCAGCACACAGTGACACTGCACAGCACACGGTGACACTGCCAGCACAGGGTGACACTGCCCAGCACACAGTGACACTGCCAGCACACGGTGACACTGCCCGGCACACGGTGACACCACACAGCACACGGTGACACTGCCAGCACAGGGTGACACTGCCCAGCACACAGTGACACTGCACAGCACACGGTGACACTGCCAGCACACGGTGACACTGCCAGGACACGGGACACCACACAGCACACGGTGACACGGCCAGCACACGGTGACACTGCCAGGACACGGTGACACTGCCAGGACACGGTGACACCACACAGCACGCGGTGACACTGCCCGGCACACAGTGACACTGCCAGGACACGGTGACACCCTGTCCCACTGTCACACTGGCGCACGGTGCCACCGGCTCTCCCCAGGCCGTGTCACCAGCCCGGTTTAATTTGGAGCCGCCCCCAGCCGTGAATAATTAATCCCTAATTAACCCCATCCCGCCCCAGGGAGCCGCCCTGCCCTGCAGCTGTCACCGTGTCACCGTGTCACCACGGTGCGGTCGCAGGGCTGGCTGGGACCCCAGGGACACCCCCGTGTAGGGGTGGCAGCAGCGGTGGCCGAGGACACTGCCTGGGGACAGCCGGGGACACGTCCTGCCCGGGGAGGGGGACAGGGCTGGGGCTGAGCTGCTCAGGGGACACGGTGGCTCTGGGGACATGGGGACACCGTGGGGACACCACGGGGACACCGTGGGGCAGCATGGGGACACCGTGGGGACACCGTGGGGACAGCAGGGCCTGCTGGGGAAGGTGGATGAGCCATGGGCATCCTCCTCCTCCTCTGCCCAGCCCAGCCCACGTGGGGCTGTTCCCCAGGATGGGATCAGAGAGTAAATCCGAATCCCAGCCCAATCCCAATCGCGGTCCATGGGATCTGGGGGTAAATTCCAATCCCAGCCCAGCAGGACCCTGTCCATGGGGTTTGAGGGTTTAATCCCAATCCCTGCCCATGGGATCTGGGGGTAAATCCCAATCCCAGCCCAGCAGGACCCTGTCCATGGGGTTTGAGGGTTTAATCCCAATCCCTGCCCATGGGATCTGGGGGTAAATCCCAATCCCTTCCATGGGATTTGAGGGCTCAGTCCCAATCCCAGCACACCAGGACTCGTCCATGGGATCTGGGGGGTAAATCCCAGTCCCTGCCCATGGGATTTAAGGGTTTAATCCCAGCCCATCAGGACCAGGGATCAGGGGAGTAAATCCCAATCCCTGCCCATGGGATCTGAGGGTAAATCCCAATCCCTGTTTATTGGATTTGAGGGCTCAATGCCAATCCCAGCACACCAGGACTCTTCCATGGGATCAGGGGTAAATCCCAGTCCCTGCCCACGGGATTTCAGGTTTAATCCCAGCCCATCAGGACCCAGCCCATGGGATTTGCAGGGTCTGTCCCAGCTCAGTGGGATCCTGTCCATGGGATTTGAGGTTTAATCCCAGCCCAGCAGGACCCTGCCCATGAGATCTGGGGGGCAAATCCCAATCCCTGCCTGTGAGATTTGGGGGGTCAATCCCAATCCCAATCCCAATCCCGGCCTGTGTGATTTGGGGGGTCAATCCCAATCCCAATCCCAATCCCGGCCTGTGTGATTTGGGGGGTCAATCCCAATCCCAATCCCAATCCCAGCCTGTGTGATTTGGGGGGTCAATCCCAATCCCAATCCCAATCTCGGCCTGTGTGATTTGGGGGGTCAATCCCAATCCCAATCCCAATCTCGGCCTGTGTGATTTGGGGGGTCAATCCCAATCCCAATCCCAATCCCGGCCTGTGTGATTTGGGGGGTCAATCCCAATCCCAATCCCAATCCCGGCCTGTGTGATTTGGGGGGTCAATCCCAATCCCAATCCCAATCCCGGCCTGTGTGATTTGGGGGGTCAATCCCATGCTCTGCCCCTTCCCAGCCGGGCTCCCCATCAGTTCGCCCCTGGCAGCGCGCAGGGCCCGTCCCGCAGGGAACAGCCGTTAATTAGCATTGTTAATTAATGCGCTGTTCCGCAGTGCCCCCCTGTGCCCCGCGAGCTCCCAGCACGGAGGGAGGGCCCGGGCAGCCCTGCCCAGGGGCCCCTCTCGGGGCTGCGCTCGCTCCTGGCACAGCCAGGGCACAGCCGGGCACAGCCAGGGCACAGCCAGAGCACAGCCGGACACAGCCGGGCACTGCCAGGGCACAGCCAGAGCACAGCCGGACACAGCCGGGCACAGCCGGGCACAGCCAGAGCACAGCCAGGGCACAGCCGGGCACAGAAAGGCACAGCCAGGCACAGCCGGGCACTGCCAGGGCACAGCCAGAGCACAGCCGGGCACAGCCGGGCACAGCCGGGCACAGCCAGGCACAGCCGGGCACAGCCAGGGCACAGCCGGGCACAGAAAGGCACAGCCGGGCACAGCCGGGCACAGCCAGGGCACTGCCAGGGCACTGCCAGGGCACAGCCGGGCACAGAAAGGCACAGCCAGGGCACTGCCAGAGCACAGCCAGGGCACAGCTGGGCACTGCCAGGGCACAGCCGGGCACAGCCAGGGCACTGCCAGGGCACAGCCGGGCACAGAAAGGCACAGCCGGGCACAGCCTGGGCACAGCCGGGCACAGCCAGGGCACAGTCTGGCACAGCCGGGCACAGCCAGGGCACAGCCGGGCACAGCCGGGCACAGCCGGGCACAGCCAGGGCACAGCCAGGGCACTGCCAGGGCACAGCCGGGCACAGCTGGGCACAGCCGGGCACAGTCTGGCACAGCCAGGGCACAGCCGGGCACAGCCGGGCACAGCCGGGCACAGCCTGGGCACAGCCGGGCACAGCCAGAGCACTGCCAGGGCACAGCCAGGGCACAGCCAGGGCACTGCCAGAGCACTGCCAGGGCACAGCCAGGGCACAGCCAGGGCACAGCCGGGCACAGCCAGAGCACTGCCAGGGCACAGCCAGGGCACAGCCAGGCACAGCCGGGCACAGCCAGAGCACTGCCAGGGCACAGCCAGGGCACAGCCAGGGCACTGCCAGAGCACTGCCAGGGCACAGCCGGGCACAGCCCGGGCACTGCCAGAGCACAGCCGGGCACAGCCAAGGCACTGCCAGAGCACTGCCAGGGCACAGCCAGGGCACAGCCAGGGCACAGCCGGGCACAGAAAGGCACAGCCGGGCACAGCCTGGGCACAGCCGGGCACAGCCAGGGCACAGCCTGGGCACAGCCGGGCCCTGTGCCACAGCCTGGCAGCCCCAGCGGTGCCCAGGGGGTGCCCAGGGGGTGCCCTGGGGGTGCCCAGGGGGTGCCCAGGGGGTGCCCTGGGGGTGCTGGGTGCTCCGAGGGTCCCCCCAGAGTCCCCCATCCTCAGCACCCGCCCAGGCCTGGATCAAACCCGGGCTTTGGGCACTGAAACAACACCTGTGCCAGGCGCTGGGAGTGGCACTGGCAGCTCCCCACAGCTCCCCACAGCTCCCCACGGCTCCTTTGGGGTCTCGGGAGCTCCCCAGGCCCAGCCCTGAGCCCCCTGAGCCCCCCACTCCTCCAGAGCCCCCCAATCCCAGCCCTGAGCCCCCTGCCCCAGGCCCATTTGGGTTCCCTGGCAGTGCCCATCTCCCCTGGCAGTGCCCAGCTCTCCCAGCCCAGCCCTGCTCCCGCTGCTCCCCAGCCCCCCCAGGCCCTTCAGAGGGGACTGAAACCCCTCCCCAGAGACCCCCCGTGCCCCCCAGGGCTGGGAGCTGCTGTGGGTCCTGTGTGTCCCTGTGTGTCCCTGTGGGTCCCTGTGGGTCCTGTGTGTCCCTGTGGGTCCCTGTGGGTCCTGTGGGTCTGTGCCCACTGGAATCCCAGGGCTCTGTGCCCCCCGAGGGTCCCCAGGGTCACTGTGGGGTCCCCCCCAGCCTCCCCCTGCCCGGGCAGGATCCAGGGGTCCCTGCAGCCCCCAGGGAGGGGCAGAGCCCCCGAGATGTGCTGGCAGTGCCAGGGGTGGGGCTGGCACCGGGGACACGGCTGGCACCAGTGTGGGGACAGGGTGAGAAGGGATGGCCTGGCCTGGCCTGGCTTGGCCTGGCTTGGCTCGGCTTGGCCTGGCTTGGCTCAGCTTGGCCTGGCTTGGCTCGGCTTGGCTTGGTACTGCACAGCTCTTGACCACACTTGGCTTGGCCCAGCCTGGCTTGGCACAGCACAGCCTAGCACATCTTGGCATGACACTGGATGGCCCTCGGCTTGATCTGCCACGGCATGGCTTGGCACGGTACAGCTTGGCTTGGCACTGCACAGCCCTTGACTCTGCTTGGCTTGGCTCGGCTCAGACCGGCCTGCTCTGGCTTGGCCTGGAATGGCTTGGCTTGGTCTTAGCATGGCAGGGCTTGGCACGGCACGGCTTGGCACCGCACAGCAAGGTTTGGCATGGCACACCTTGGCATGGCACACCGGGTTCTGTCCCTGCCCCAGTGCAGAAGCTCAGCCCTGTGCCATGCCGTGCCATGCCGTGCTGTGCCATGCCATCCCCTGAGCCGTGCTGTGCCAAGCCAGGCCGTGCCGGCGGTGCCCGTGCCGTGCCCGTGCCGTGCCATTCCGAGCCGTGCCATGCTGTACCGTGCCATGCCCTGAACCGTGCCCGTGCCGTGTTAAGGCATCCCACGCTGTGCCGTTCCCGTTCCGAGCCGTGCCCGTGCCGTGCCATGCCCTGAGCCGTGCCCGTGCCGTTCCGTGCCGTGCCCGTGCCGTGTTAAGGCATCCCACGCTGTGCCGTTCCCGTTCCGAGCCGTGCCCGCGCCGTGTTAAGGCATCCCACGCTGTGCCGTTCCCGTTCCGAGCCGTGCCGCGCCGTGCCCGTTCCCGAGCCGTGCCCGTGCCGGTGCGCGCTGCCGGCGGGCTCTAGGACCGCGCGGCGGGCTCGGTGCTGCAGTGGAGGCGGCGGCGCTGCGGGAGGAGGCCTGGCCGGGCAGCGCAGCGGCGGCGGCGGCTCGGCGGGGCTCGGCACGGCTCGGCGGGGCTCGGCGGGGCTCTGCGCCGGGCCCGCAGCGGCCCAGGTAACCGGGACAGCGGGACGGCGGGACGGACGGCGGGACGGCGGCACCGGCACCGCCGGCCCGGCCCGGCTCCGCTCGGGCGCGCTCGGCTGCGTTCGGTTCAGTTCGGATGATGCGTTCGGCTCGGTTCGGCTCCGTTCGGCTCGGTCCGGCCCCGTCCGGTTCGGTTCGGGTGGTGCCTTCGGAAGGGCTCGGGCCCGTCCGGAGGGGGTTCGGGTGTCTCCGCGATGGTTCGGCTCCCTGCGGCCGAGGTTCGGCTCCCCGCGGCCGAGGTTCGGCTCCCCCCGACGCACTTCGGCCGTCTCCGGCGGGGCTCGGCCCGGCCCGGCGCGGCCCCGGTGCGTCCGCCGTCCCGGGCCCGCGGCAGGAAAACACGGCGGGGCCGGGCCCGCTGGGCCCCCCGGCCCCGCGCCGCCCCCGCCCGGCCCGGCCCGGCCCCGCTCGGCCCGGCCGTGCGAGCGGGGGTGGCCGCGCGGCCCGGCCGGCCCGGCCCCCGCGGCGCCGCCGTGTCCTTGAGCGCGGCGCGGGCGGCTGAAGGGCAGCGGGGCCCGGTGGCACCGCGGGCTGTCCCCTCGGTCCCCTCCCGGCCCGCCGTGTCACCGCCGTGTGCCCCCCGGCGGGACGCGGGGCCGCGGCCGCCCGTGCCCTGCCCGCGGCGGGGCCCCCGCGGGAGCGGCCGGGCCGGGCCGGCCTTGCCCGAACTTGGGGGATTTTGCACCGAAAATCCCCCCGGGGGAGGCGCAGCGCCGCGGGGCCCGCGGGCGGGGGCGGCCGGGCCGGGCCTGCCGGGGCTGCGGGTGCTCGGCCTGCCCGCTCTGCTCCCCCCGGGGCCCGGCTCCTTCCCCTGTCCTTCCCCTTCCCTTCCCTCTCCCTTCTCCCCTTCTCCCCTTCCCTTCCCTCTCCCCTCTCCCTTCTCTCATTCCCGTTTCACTTCCCTCTCCCTTCTCTCCTTCCCTCTCCCCTTCCCTCTCCCGTCTCCCTTTCCCTTTCCCTCTCCCTTCTCTCCCTTCTGTCTCCCTTTTCCTCTTCCCTCTCCCTTCGCCCCTTCCTGCTCCCTGCCCACTTCATGCTCTGTTCCCCCTGCATCTCCCCCTTCCCACTCACTGCCCACTTCCTCATCACTTCCCCCTTCCTCCTCATTTTCCTTCTCACGTTCCCCTTCCTGCTCATTTCCCTCTCCCTCTCACTTCCCCCTTCCTGCTCATTTTTCCCTTCCTTTGCCCTCTCACTTCCCTATTCCTGCTCACTTCCCACTCCCCTCTCGCTCCCCTGCCCCTCTGGCTTCCTATGGCTCTCTTCCTTCCCCCTTCCCCATCATTTCCCTTTCCTTTTTGCTTTCCCCTTCCCTCTTGCTCCTTGCCCATCCCACTCACTTCCCCTTTCCCACTCCCTCCCCACTTCCCCGCTGTCTCCCTCCCCCTCATTTCCCCTCTCTCCCTCCTCCTTCCCCTGTCCCTTTCCCTCCCACCGCCGTTTCCTGCCCCCGCTTCGCTTTCCGGGGTGTTTCGCCTGCGCAAACCTGCGGCCAAATGAGATTTCCCTCCTCCCCCGGTTCCCCTTTCTGCCCTTTGTGTGACGTCGCCGGTGTCACCGCGGGACCGGCCGGGTTCCGTGCTGGCTGCCGCGCCGGCGGCCGCATCCCGTGGTGGCAGCGACCCCCGGGAGCCCCGGCTTGGGGCGGCACCGGCCCCGCTGCCCCGGCAGCTCCGGCAGCTCCGGCAGCTCCGGCCCCGTGTGCTGAGTCAGCTCCGAACTTCCCAGTGGAGCGGTTCTGTGGCATGGAGCAGCTTTGGGGACATGCAGGAGCTTTGGTGACATGGAGCAGCTTTGGTGACACCAAGCAACTTTGGTGACATGGTGTAGCTTTGGTGATACCGAGCAGCTCTGGTGATTCCGAGTAGCTCTGGTGACACTGGGTTGTTTTGGTGACACCGGGTTGTTTTGGTGACACCGAGCAGCTTTGGTGACACCGAGCAGCTTTGGTGACATGCAGGAGCTTTGGTGATACCGAGCAGCTCTGGTGACACCGAGTAGCTTTGGTGACACCGAGTTGCTTTGGTGACAAGGAGCAGCCTCTGCTCCCTTGTGGAACAGCACCGTGTTGGTGCCTGCTGGCAGGCCTGGTGTGTCCCAGAGCATCCCGGTGTGTCCCAATGTGTCCTGATGCATCCTGGTGTGTTCTGGTGTGTTCTGATGCATCCCAGTGCATCCTGGTGTGTCCCAGTGTGTCCCAGAGCATCCCGGTGTGTCCTGGTGCATCCCAGTGCATACTGGTATGTCCTGGTGTGTCCTGGTGTATCCTGGTGTGTCTCGGTGTGTCCCAATGCATCCCAGTGTGTCCCAGTGTGTCCTGATGCATCCTGGTGTGTTCTGGTGCATTCTGCTGTGTTCTGGTGCATCCCGGTGTGTCCCGGTGTCTCCCAGTGTATCCTGATGTATCCCAGTGCATCCCAGTGTGTCCCACTGCATCTCCGTGTGTCCCAGTGTGTCCTGGTGTGTCCCGGTGTGTCCCGGTGCATCCCGGTGATCCTGGTGCATCTTGGTGTCCCAGTTTGTCCCAGTGTGTCCCAGTGCAACCCAGTGTGTCCCGGTGTGTCCCAGTGTGTCCCAGTGCATCCCAGTGCGCCCCAATGACCGTGGCTGGCCGTGTCCCTGCAATCTGGTGGCAGCCACCGCTGTACCCGCAGTCCCCGTGCTGTGCCACACTGTGCCACCCCGCGCCATGCCACCCCACACTGTGCCACCCCGCGCCGTGCCACACCATGCCGTGCCATGGCAGCCACTCTCAGAGCCTCAGGCAGTGGATTTCATGCAGGAAGTTTTACTTTGGCTCATCCCAGTTCTCTTTTGGCCCATCCCAGTTCTATTTTGGCCCATCCCAGTTCTCTTTTGGCCCATACCAGTTTTACTTTGGCCCATCCCAGTTCTGTTTTGGCCCATCCCAGTTCTGTTTTGGCCCATCCCAGTTCTCTTTTGGCCCATACCAGTTTTACTTTGGCCCATCCCAGTTTTGTTTTGGCCCATCCCAGTTCTGTTTTAGCCCATCCCAGTTTTGTTTTGGCCCATCCCAGTTGTATTTTGGCCCATCCCAGTTCTGTTTTGGCCCATCCCAGTTCTCTTTTGGCCCATACCAGTTCTATTTTGGCCCATCCCAGTTCTGTTTTGGCCCATACCAGTTTTACTTTGGCCCATCCCAGTTCTGTTTTGGCCCATCCCAGTTGTATTTTGGCCCATCCCAGTTGTATTTTGGCCCATCCCAGTTTTGTTTTGGCCCATCCCAGTTGTATTTTGGCACACCCCTTCCCGCAGCAGGGCGCGGTGCCCCGGGGCAGCGCGTGGGCCGGCAGGTGCCACGGGAGCGTGCCAGGCACGCGTGTGCCACGGCGTGGCACGGCACGGTGCGGGCGTGCTGGGGTGCCTCCGGGGCATGGGATGGGGTTGGGGTTGGTGGGATGGCTCCAGGGCCTGACAGAGTTTAGGTTTGAGTTTGGGTTTGGGTTTTGTGGGATGGCTTCAGGCCCTCCGATGGGTTTGGGTTTGCTGGGATGACTCCAGGCCGTGGGATGGGTTTGGGTTTGAGTTTTAGTTTAGTGGGATGGCTCCAGGCCCTGGATTGGATTTGAGTTTGGGTTTGCTGGGATGGCTCCAGGCCCTGGCAGGGTTTGGGGTTGGATTTGGGTTTGAGTTTGGTGGGATGGCTCCAGGCCCTAGGATGCATTTGGGTTTGCTGGGATGGGTTTGAGTTTGCTGGGATGGCTGCAGGCCCTGGTTTGACTTTGGTGGGATGGGTTTGGGTTTGCTGGGATGGCCCCAGCCCTTCTCAGTTTGGGTTTGGTGGAATGGATCCAGGCCCTGGATTGGGTTTGGTTTTGGGTTTGGTGGGATGGCTCCAGGCCCCACTCAGTTTGGCCTTGCTGGGATGTCTCCAGGCCCCAGGATGGGTTTGGGTTTGCTGGGATGGCTCCAGGCCCTGGATTGGGTTTGGGTTTGGTGGGATGGCTCCAGGCCCCACTCAGTTTGGCCTTGCTGGGATGTCTCCAGGCCCCAGGATGGGTTTGGGTTTGCTGGGATCGCTCCAGGCCCCAGGATGGGTTTGGGTTTGGTGGGATGGCTCCAGGCCCCAGGATGGGTTTGGCCTTGCTGGGATGTCTCCAGGCCCTGGTTTGGGTTTGGGTTTGCCGGGATGGCTCCAGGCCCTGGTTTGGGTTTGGGTTTGCCGGGATGGCTCCAGGCCCTGGTTTGGGTTTGCCGGGATGGCTCCACGCCCTGGTTTGGGTTTGGGTTTGCCGGGATGGCTCCAGGCCCTGGTTTGGGTTTGGGTTTGCCGGGATGGCTCCAGGCCCTGGTTTGGGTTTGGGTTTGCCGGGATGGCTCCAGGCCCTGGATTGGGTTTGGGTTTGCCGGGATGGCTCCAGGCCCTGGTTTGGGTTTGGGTTTGCCGGGATGTCTCCAGGCCCTGGTTTGGGTTTGGGTTTGCTGGGATGGCTCCAGGCCCCGGGATGGGTTTGGGTTTGCCGGGATGGCTCCAGGCCCTGGTTTGGGTTTGGGTTTGCTGGGATGGCTGCAGGCCCTGGGATGGCTGCAGGCCCCACTCAGTTCCTCCCCAGCCCAGGAGGAGCCCTCAGCAGGCTCCGCTCCCCCGGCACTGCCCCGTCCCTCTGGCCCGGTGCTGGGCTCGGTGTGTGCCGGCGGTGTGGGGCCGGTGCTGGCAGTGTGGGGCCGGTTCCGGTGGTTCACCACTGCTCCCAGCCCATCCCATCCTGCTGAGCATGGCCCCAGCCCTGCCCCGGGCTCCCAGCCCTGCTCCGGGCCCCCAGCCCTGCCTCAGCCCTGCCCTGGGCCCTCAGCCCTGCTCTGGGCCCCCAGCCCTGCCCCAGCCCTGCCCCAGCCCTGCTCCGGGCCCCCAGCCCTGCCCCAGCCCTGCCCCAGCCCTGCCCCAGCCCTGCTCCGGGCCCCCAGCCCTGCCCCAGGCCCCCAGCCCTGCCCCAGCCCTGCCCCAG